AAGAAGTGATTACAGATTACACGGCTGGGATTCGATTCACGAAAAGAGTTCAAATTATTTTTTTCCATCATCATCACAAATCCGGTGTTTGGACCCATCAAACCTGCTATCAAATGAGTAACTATTGTAGCGTGGATGGCTAGAGCGTTTCTAAGCAACGGCTCAGTAAATGATCCTCAATAATAGATTGTTTTCTATGGGTCCGCGCCACGACAATTGCTATGCAATTATTCGGTAAACACTTTTCAACAGTAGAGGCTGTGTTTTCCGTGGGGTCCCTGCAAAGAAGTTATCTTAAAAACAAACGGCGCTACGATTCAGTTCTGAGTTCTGAGTTCTCGGTAGAAGATAACCACGAAAAGTTCGTCAACCTATGAAGACTTGGTGTGCGATCAGAAGGCTTCATTCATGTGTAATGTTAGAGTGTGTAATTCAGTGAGACTGTTATAGTTCCTGAGTTTTAGGTGTGAGAAAACCAATGTGTGTGTGTGTGTGTGTGTGTGTGTGTAAATCAAGCGCTGTATCTGACTGTAATTAAGAGACGTTGTAACCGAAGTGCCAATAAATCCAATCATCAGAAGTAGAATCCGCCATTTTCGTCGCGCGTACCGTCCTACAGGTAACACTATATTCGTTTATTGCTAAGTTCAAAGCATGTAAAATTGCATTCACGCAAGCGTAATCCCATTTCAGGGTGGGAAACAGACTGACTCGACTGAGTGTCCCGAAAAATGACGCAGCCGCTGCTAGGCGAACGCAGATCGTAATATTTCAAGAAAAATTCTATCTACCACTTAACTAACAATTCAAAGAAATTTATAAATAAACTGACTAGCCTACCAGCTGCTTACGTATTCAGTGATCAAATTAAAAGATCCAACAACTGCTGCTAAGAAGCCCCACCATTTGATATTCTTCCAAGCTAGTTCCAGTCTTCTCCCAGTGTCATTAGGCTTTTTTTTCCCCTTGGCACTACAGCCTCAGTGAGCCTAGGCCTACCTCCATGAGCGTCTCCGTTCACTTCGGTTTTCCTAGATCTTACACATTCGGTAGGACTCCTTGTGCGGGTGATGAGCTCGTCGCAAGGCATCTACCTGTACACAAACACAGAGAAAAGCACGCACACACAGAAACTAAACATCCATGCCCTGAGTGGGATTCGAACCCACGATCTCGGTTTCCAAGCGAGCGAAGACAGTACATGCCTTAGACCGCTCGGCTACCGTAACCAGCAAATATAGGCTTATCCTCCGATATCCTTTCATGGCTTCTTCAAGGTGGCTCTAGAGGGGGTTTCTCCCTGAAATTTTCTCCAGAATTTGTCCTTTTCAATCCCAGTTACGTCTTCCACGACTGAGCTGAGAGACTTGTCAGCGCAAGAAGTGGTTATCCAGTGCTTACTAGAGGATCGCTCTAATCAGTTCGTCGGGGCAACTGCGACTTGTTTATCTCCACTCGCTCAAAATATTATGCATTCCATAGGTCAGTTACACAAGCTGATAAAAGAACTTCACAAACTAACGTATTTTAACGTGCTTATGTCGTGACTGCTGGCTCGTTCTATACGAGGGTCAAACCCGCGCTGAGGAGAATACGAGTCTTCGAACCTGACAGAATGGCGGCAGCTGGAGAACGCAGTAAATGAATGCATAATGAAAATATTCATATTGTTCAGTATTCAATAGATATTGTGGCGTGTGGTAAAGTAAAGTAAGTAAGTAAAGGTATTCCTGTACCAGGCCGTGGAGGCCCATAGAGTTGTGAGATGTTGAAGTTCCCACATTTTCTAGACAATCGGCTCATAGATGGCGGTAAGGTTGTCAGCCCTACGCGCCGGTCGCCCATTACCCCAAGAATATTCCTGGTACTCATTTCTGTTAGAGGCGGAGTCGACCCCAGGGCCATAGAATGCGGCTGGAAGGATGAGATAAATTGAAAAAACCCACCTCATCGGGATTCCATCCCGCCACCTTCTGGCTTGTAGCATAGTGCCTCAACCAATAGTGCCCCCTAATCGGTGATTCCAGCAATAATATATGAAGTTGCATTGACAGTTGTATAGCATACATAAACAGAGATGCAGATTCTGAAAGTGAGCACTGGGTGGATCTGGCTGAGGAAATCTTCCAACTGAGAGATGAGAGGGGCGTCTCGACAACACGAGTAGCTGCACGTTTCAAGGCGAAGAGCCGCATCAAAGAAATACGTGTTTGTAGTTGGTAACTTTCCTTTTGGTGACTTTTTTCGACAAAAAGCACCCCTTCATTGTTTGCTCTGGGGCGGATCCATCTTCCAATCTGGTTCTTAACTGCAAATTCTCTAGTAAAATAGTCCGAAACTTTTAACACCTTCACCATTAACACAGAAATTAATGAACTCGAAGTTAAACAATTCGATTCCATTCTTATCACTGATACCCGTTCATTAAGTTCCCGTCTTCAATTAGCATGCTCGAAAATCATTATTAAACAAAGCAAGCAATTTACTGTTTTTTTTAATTCTTTACATCATCATCATCGTCGTCCCGCTGAAGGTCCTACTAACTTGTTACCTTATACGTTAATGCAGGAAAAACGACGTAGAAATACTGCGAACTTACGAGATGCGAGCAACGTCACGCCAATTTATATTGAAGTAATTCAAGAATTAAAAAAAAAAAAACTGCAATACGACGAGATCAGGTTCCTTAACCTTGAGTCCAATTAAGTTCAAGGTCAGAGGTGAAACTTCTACTGCTGGTTGTTCTGATCTTCCGCACACCTCAGAAACGGTGACTATTACAATGTACTTGGTGGTACAGTGATTTGTAGGAATAAGGAAGTATTCGCGGAACCAGTCTCAAGTGCAATATTGTCTGGCATGCATCTTCATGACATGTTTCTGCCATACACAACCCTCCTCGTGCAGGGGATACCGGGGTTAGCTGTTATAATGTTCGTCCATGTGTGTATGCATGTACTGGAAAAATACCGATGCACAATGTTTTTTTAATTCGCTTAGTGGGGAGTGGATTCCAACTGGGTCCACTCGGCACGGCGGCCACTGATTGGCCTATTATAGCCTGCCCCGGCTGATTATGATGATGGAGAATTTGGTGGAATGAAGATTGGCAGGAGAAACCGAAGTACTGGGAGAAAACCAGCCCCAGCGCCACTCTGTCCACCACAAATCCCACTTGACCAGAACCGGGATCGAACCCGGGCCGCTGCGGTGAGAAGCCAACGACTAACCGCTTGATGCACAGTGTTAGTGTCAGCATAGATCTATAAAGTAAAGCACAATAGACCACTGTAGGTCGCGGTGCAAGGGCCGAGAAGGCCCACCCCTTATACATTCATCTATAAGGTAATATTACTCATATGACCTCCGTAATTACGTAGTTTGTAATAAATGTCTGCAGTTCTTTTTGGCTGTGCGTGAAGTAACAGCACCGCCTCTGTGGTCTAGTGGTCAGATTTCCTTGCTACAGATCCAGAGGTCCCGGGTTCGATTCCCGGCTCTACAAGATTTCCTGAGAAATAATGGATCTGGAATGGGGTTCACTCAGCCTCGTGAGGATAACTGAGGAGCTACTTGAATGGAAAAGCAGCAGCTCCGGTCTAGAAAACCGAAATTAACAGCCGTGGGCATTCATTGCGCTGACCGCGCGACATCCTCTATCCGCTAAATTTGTCACTAACTTGGCTAACAAGCGGCGGTCGCTCGGTCGATATAGTTCGCTTTCGGACTAATGCCACGGAATTTATAAAGTAACAACATGCCACATTAAGTGGTACGTTGTTACATTAAATGGCATTAATAATTACATTTCTGTATTATAACAATATAAACACACCTTTGATATTTATTATATTTATCATATTAGTATAAATAGTGTGTAATTGGAACAGTTGACATATTTGAATTAATAATATAAGTTCCAATTAATTTTAGTTTTGTATTTATGATACTTATTACGGACATATAGTATTATCCGAATTGATTATAGTTACCACATCAAATCACTCTGCATATGTGAGTTCGTCAGTATCATCAGGTTTGCAGTTATTACAAATATGAAAATCATTGAATGGGTCATAAAGGTCGCGGGCCCATTTATTACACGTAACTGTTGCAATTTTATTATATTCCCAATGACATAATGGTATCTATGCAATCTATATTCCCTACAGAACGGACAAATATATTGTAAAGGGGCCCATACACGTACGAGTCTGGCTCGACGAGCTTGACTCGGGAGCCGGGCTCGGATTAATTTCACCACAAACACATGAGCTGACTCCCAAATTTGCGACCCACACACGGACGAGTTTGGCTCCTTGGAACCCGAGCCGAGCCAGACTCGTACGTGTATGGGCCCCCTAAGAAGAGACACCGACTAAACAATTAACGTCAAAACTATAATACATCTATACCACGAGCTTCCAAGCAGCTTATTACATGTATACAAGTCTAGAATATACCATTATGTCCGCTGGAATATAACAAATTGCAACAACTGGCTTGATGATACGGATATCACATGAAGAGTTTTAACCTTATTTTACGCCATAACTTTCGTATTTATAATAAGTTTATAGTTCATTGTATCTTTATACAATATGTTTTATAATGTAATAATTATCAGTATCCAGCGTCACTATCGCAATTGCAGTTTAGTACTATATGAATATGGTAATCATGTGTTTGCCTGATAATGGCTTCAATAGCCGGAACTTGTATGTAAGCTAATTTTAACCTTGACCATTGTATTTTTGTGTTTTATATAATAACATAACAGGATGCATGAAATGAAAAACAAGAAAATTCTTGGACCTACCGGGACTCGAACTCCGACCCCTCGGTCATCCAGCCCGTAGCCAGTTCCTATACCGACTACGCTATCCCAGCTCCGCTCAAAGTATAAAGGCATATTTTAGTCATGATGTAAATGGTATTGACCTCAATTTCAGATAATATCTGGCACTGTAGAAGCAGTCTAGAGTCAGACGAAAGGCAGACAATGACAGATATTCTTTCCTGTCGAGAAATGTGAAAAATCAAGGGCAGTTCCATTAACGAACGGTAGGTCGGATTACATTTTATCTTGTTCGCTAGTCAAGAGGAGTTGAGAAATTAATTTCATAAGGTCGGATGGTTTCACTTCAAGCCTTTCTGGATCGACTTACTCAGAATATTATACAGGATAAAATGGTTAATTATAAACTATTTATAGTGTTCGAACACATTCTTAGATACACCATAAATAAATAACAGTACAAACCGATCACAATGACCGCGTGGTCTAAGGCATGAACATCCTTCGCTCGCTCGAAAGTTGGAATCGTGGATTCGAATCCCTTTCATGGCATGAATTCTGTATTGTGTGCGTTCATTCTGTGTTTATGTCGTTCTGTGTGTAGGTAGCGGTCTTGCGATGGCCTCATTCCCCTTTCAAGGAGTCCTACCGACTGTACATAGGATCAAGAAACTGAAAAGCAGCCAAGGCCAAACAAAGGGTTGTATAGCAATAATAGTAATAAATAAATAAATAAATAAATAAATAAATAAAAATAAAGCTGGTTAATTCAATCACCGTAGCTGGTGTTCCCAAAGCATAAAGAAAAGGTAAAGCTACACGCGTAATAGGCCGTGGAGGCCCATAGGATTGTGAGACGTCAAGGCTCCCACATTTTCTAGACAATCGGCTCACAGATGGCGGTGAGGTTGTCAGTCTTACGGGCCGACCTCCCTTTATCCAGAAGGAAGATTCCTGCTATTCATTTCTTTTAGAGGCTGAGTCGACCCCGGGGCCAGGATTACTTGAATTAAAAATCCAATTACCACATCGGAAATTGAACTCGCGACATTCTGACTTCTAGCGTAGTGCCCAACCAACCAAGCTACCGCGTACACACGCCTCTCATCCAACTACGCTACCGCGCAGCCCTTCCAAACATGTTCAGACTGGAATTACACTGAATGTGAAATATATCCCACTAAACATTTTCAAGCCGGTCACGGTAGCCGACCCACCCCCAGTGGGTCTAGGCCTACCTCCATGAACTTCACGTTCATTTCGGTTTTTCTACATCTTACACATTCGGTAGGATTCCTTGGGCGGGTGATCAGCTCGTCGCAAGGCCTCTGCGTGTATACAAATGCAGAAAAACGCACACACACAAACTAAACATCCATGCCCTGAGTGGGATTCGAACCCACTATCCCGGTTTCCAAGCGACCGAAGACAGTACATGCCTTAGACCGCTCGCCTACCGTGACCGGCGGTATAAATATTATGCGGCGTAATTTCCCCATGTCTATCTTATCTTTTTGTCAGGACTTGTTTGGAGTAGGACAGACATATCACTTCTCCTTGACATGTTCTTTCGAGTTCCACATGTCAGCAGATGTGTATCGTGTTTTCTTATCCCGAATATGGCGATTACTGATATTCCCTCCAACTCTTCATTCAATCAGGGATTTACAGGAGATCCGAAAGTACGTTCCCATCTTATAGGGACACACAGAATCTTCGATATGATCAACGGGATGTTATTTGTACGGCTCGTAAATTACTTGTACCTATACATGAAGAGTATTAATATATGGGAGCGTGCATGGGCGGTTTACATCTTGCAGGTTGCTGGCTTGGCTTAATCTTCAACCCTGAATATAGATGCAGTTTTTCTTCCGAAATATCGATGAACTTCTACCGGACCAGCATCACATCCAAGAGTATATCATTCTTCACACTCCCCAATCTTACAAACTCAATCCAGGCACATCCGTTTACATATTCTCAGCAAATACTGATAATCACGTGGTGGAGTGGGGCTTTCTGTCCTCTGTCCATAGAATCAACTGCCTTGTTTTTTTTTTTCAGTACCGTTTTACTGTATTTTCTGTTATCTGTTTTGGCCTTCAGATATTGGTTTAGCACTCGAGGTCGCAAATTTAAAACTGTTATGTTTTATCACGGGAAATTCGTACTACTCATATGAAGAATATTTCGTACGACATAATCGAACAAGATGATCTGTGATATGTGCCGATAATTGCAGTAAGCAAACTCGTGATCTCTTATCGTGTGTAGGTTCATATAGTCGCCCAGAACACTGCATGCAGACTGCACCAGAGGCTCGGAGAGGAATATGTTCCGCTCTACGGTTTTGCTTCTCATGCTTGGGTGCGCATGCACCATAGCTGTCGACTTCGAAGATTGTGGTAAGTTAATAGTTAATTCTGTGATTTATCCAAATATGTCAGCCAATTTTATTCTATTCTCTTTTCAAAATGAAAGCATGCAGTACTAACTGGCCGATATTCATGTAATGTTTTATTCGCACAGATCCATAGGAGGAAATATATTTTCATATTTACGGATTCAATATCGTGATGGCCATGCGACGTTCTGGTGTGTTTTCGACAACAATGACATTAATATAGATTCCTAATTTTTGTGATGCAAAGCGTAGCATGAAGCAACGAATTCTGTTCGCCCTCCTTTTATGTATTACATAAATTATTAAGACGGCGGCCTCGCATAAATTATATTCAGCTTTCAATTTTACGGCAGCAGACCGATCTAGAGAAATATTTCATAGAAATCAGAAATTTCGTACTGTAGAGTGTAGAGCCGTTCCTAGGCAACGGTTCGGTAAAAACGTTTCCGCTGCAACGGATACGCATACGACAATAGAGGTACTTTTGGAAACGTTTTTTCTACTTGGTCCTTGCAAAGGGGTTAGAAGGAAGACAATTGTAGCAAGAAGAGGAAGTTGGAAAGGAGCCGCCGTTCAGAGAGGACTTCAGCACTGAATCTGAGAGAGAGCCATTATTAGAATCCGCTATCAGGAAACGTCTAGTGAAGACATTGAAAGCTGTAAAAGGCTTAATGTGTGCTTTAGTGATTTATAAAGTGTGGAAATCATAGATAATGTTATTGTTATTTGTAGTTTCTGCATGTAGGTGGTCAATCCAATTATCCAAGACCCCGTCAACCCCGTCTATAGTCACCCATACTATGTGGCAGTATCAGATATTTTTGTTTGTTAAAAATACCGAATATGAAGAAAGAACGGAGATTTAAGGTAAAGTCTGCTACTTTCCACATGGACACTGTGCACACGAGTATAAAAGTGAATTATATACTGATTAATTCACGTATAACACCTGTTGGCCTCTTCAGAATGTTTTAAAGGAAGCTAGGGGTCAGAAGGTCTTGCAAAAACTTGTTGTAGATCTGCAGTTTAGGCTCTCTGTATAATGATGACAGCTGATGACAGTGCTTCCCTTGATTGCGGCCTCCAAATTAATGAATGTGGGCCCCTGAGGGCAACTAATTACAAAGTGTGTTTCTTTTTTTCCCCTTGGCACTACAGCCCCAGTGGGCCTAGGCCTACCTCCATGAACTTCTCCGTTCACTTCGGTTTTTCTAGATCTTACACATTCAGTAGGACTCCTTGGGCGGGTGATCAGCTCCTCGCAAGGCCTCTACCTGTACACAAACACAGAAACACGCACACATATAAAGTAAATATGCCCTGAGTGGGATTCGAACCCACGATCCCGGTTTCCAAGCGAGCGAAGACAGTACATGCCTTAGACCGCTCGGCTACCGTGACCGGCTAAGTGTGCGTCTTAGCCAAGAGTAAAGATAACCGGTACTAGCAGCTACCTTCAATTCCAGTTTGTAGGCTGAAATTCTAAGAAACACAGATAATTTCGTCATCTAAAAATACCCCACGAATTTCTGCACTACATTCCGTGACATTGTACACAAATTGGTCAAATGCTTTCGAGGGGGGGGGGGGGATATTCAACACCGCTTTCAGTATGTGGACTATATGTCGTAGGATACGAATATGACTGAAGGAATAGAAGGATCTGGAACAAAGCGGTGGTGACCTAAATTACCTAATAGCATCCATTTGTCTGGGGAGAGTTAGAAAAACTACGAAAAACCTCATTAAACAAAGCAGAAGACCCCCCCCCCCCACACACGAACCGAGTACGTTAGAGTATAAGTGTAGACCAGGCTGTAAAATAAAGGTAAACTGTTCCTGTGCTTACCTAACTACGCCATGAAGACGTATGGGGGGGGTGCATATATAGACCCAAACTTTCTTGACCTCAGCACTAGTTGGAGGTGAATGGTCAGCTTCACGCCTCTGGCGCCTTACCCCTGGGGAAATAGCCGAAATAGCCCCCGTTTCCCATTGCATAGGTAGCTGGGTAGGCCCCAGAGCAGCTATGAACAATGTGGATAAGAGAAAATTCTTGACCTTGCCGGGACTCGAGCTCCGATCCCTCGGTCGTCCATCCAGTAGACTGTCGCTATGCCGACTGCGCTATCCCGGCTCCTGGAACGAAGCGGCACTCACCTAAATTACCTAATGGCATCCATTTGTCTGGAGAAAGATAGGAAAACTATGAAAAATTTCATTAAAATACTACTTTCAGTAGACCCCCCTCCCCGAGATTCGAACAAATTGCGTTAAGAATACAAGCCTAGATCATTACCTTTAGACCAGCCTGTTCAGTGGGCAAAAGTTATGGCTTTAGTAACATGAGACAATTAGGCCCACAGTAATTGTAGAACACGTTACTTATGCATGCCCTTAAATTATATCATATTGTGTCTAGTGCATAGCTACTGAACACAGGACAATATTGTTACGTGACTGTAGAAGGGGTTTTGGGTTGGATGTTGGATTTGTTGACCACTTCAACACACAACTAGTAATTACACTTAACTAGAGCGCCATTGCTGATCTTCACACTTTACAAATCACTGTTATACACACACACACACACACTAGTATTCTCAATCTGTTACTAGACGTTCCCTGGTAACGGCTTCTAACAGTGGCTATTCCTCTGCTTCCGGGGCTCAAGTCCTCTCTGAACGGCGGCTCCCTCCCAACTGTCTATTCTTGCTTCAATCGTCATCCTTATAACCCCTCTGCAAGACCTAGTAGAAAATACTTTTTCCAACAGTAACTCTATTGTTCCGTGTGTATCAGTTGCAGCCGTTACCTAGAAACGGCTCTACACGGTACAAGGTTTTAACCTGGTGACTTATTCTTTCATTCCGGTGAATTCGGTAAATTTGGCGAGAAATAAATATACAGTTGCCACACCAAATACGTTAAGGATAGTAGACCATTCGGTACAGCATTGACAAGAAAAAGGTTGGCAGAGAAATCGTAACTGAATTATATGCCAGATATTATTACAAAACCCATATTTGCTACTTCTCATTTTCGTTTACTGTGATGTAGCTGGTGACGACATTTCAGAACTGCTAACTGGACGCAGTTCCAACCTCGCCTCTTCTTCGCACACCACTTCCCGCGCATTTGTCTGCATACTCACCCCTCCAAGCGGCCGCTTTCAAACAGATTTCTCGCTCGACGTACATTTCATTGCGCTAAGAAAACCAGGTGACGTTTATAAACGGCAACGCTTCTCGTTGTGTATTAACCCGAAAGCCCCATTATTTTATATTCTTAGATCGAAATGCGTTCTTCTGAACTTGTTTGTAGGAACTTGTCATTTATGTTCATTCCGTGAAGTAAGAACCACTTTACATATCCACATAGAACTGAAAAATTAGGTTAGATTTTACATTATCAAGGGGCCCCTATATACAGATTGTAGGATCCACTAAAACGTTGGTAACTATCTACCAGACTATACGGCGTCAAGTTCTAGGAGCTAGTAATCTTGTGAAAAATTATCTTTATATATCTATGTATTTACAATCCCTGTAACAGGCCGTGAAGGTCCATAGGGTTGTGTGACGTCGAGACTTTCTACACAATCGACTCACAGATGGCGGTGGAGTTGTCAGCCTTAGGCGTCTGCGGCCCTTTACTGCCCGGAAATTTCCTGGTACTCATTTCTGTTAGAGACTCAGTCGACCCCAGGGCCATAGTGCGGCTGAAAAGATTACGTCAATTAAAATCCCAACGACCTCATCGGAAATCGAACCCGCAACCTTCCGGCTTGACAACTGAATCTTCTCAACCGAACCCTTCTTTATAACCACTTTTCACGGGCCACCCACAAAACACAGCCTTTATTGTTAAGAAGGCGTGTTTACTTATCCGTTCCCCAGCAATAGACGTTCTATTGTTGCGTGCGTTGGTAACAGCTGGAATGTGTTTACTGAGTCGTTGCCTAGCAATGAGTTTATACGTCACGGTATTCATCTTCAACTGTTGTGTTACAGGTTCTGAATACGATGCTTTAAGCATCAGCATCGACGGATGCAGTACACTGCCTTGCAACCTAGTCGCAGGTTCCAGTACAACTGTCACCTCGAGCTTCAAAGCAGGTAAAAGCTGAGAGGTGCCGCATTTGCCTGAATACAGTAAACACTTCTATCTTTCGAGTAGTTCCCCATAGAAGCTACACCACAAACGTTTGCACAGTTGTTACTACTAGTAGAAATTATTTTCGTCACTTTGCACTGTATTCGGTGTTGTGCAAACAGGATCGATACTCAATCGAATTGGCTGGTGCGTTGTGCAACCTTTGTATTAAATCAAAGTGTGAATAGTTTTATCTTCTGGGGTGCAGCGCCACGTAGGCCGGTGGAAGTCGACCGACGTTTCAGAGGAAAATGGCGCCTCCATATGCAGGGTTGAAGACAGAGCCAAGCAAGAGACAAGCACAATTCAGGCACGAAGTAAATCTCTGTTTTCTGCTGGTTTCTTAATTGGCTTACTCTTCAATCCTGAAGAGGGAAGTGACATATCCCTCTGAAGCTTCGCTTTATTTCCAACATTTGCTATACGGCACTATATCCCTAAAGATAGAACTATTCATAACAACCGCTGTGAGAACCTAAAATTCTACAATCAAAATGTGTTTTGTATTTCTACCGTAACAAGAAGTGCTGAACAAAACTCTGTATTGTGAATTGCACAAAAAAAGTTCAGTCGTACTTCTGCTACACGGCGTCATCATATATTAACAATGAATTCTGGAAGTGATGTATTAAATTCCAGTACAGGTCATAAGGTCGAGGGTTCAATTCCCGATAAGGTATTTGGAACCTTTCAATTGACCTTATCCTTCCAGCCGCACTATGGCCCTGGGGTCGACACAGCCTCTAACAGAAATAAGTACCAGGAATCTTCCTGGGGGTAAACGGAGGCCGGTGCGTCAGGCTGACAGCCTCACCGCAATCTGAGAGCCGATTGTCTAGAAAATGCGGGGGCTTCGACGTCTCAAAATCCTATGGGCTTTCACGTCCTGTTACAGGGATACTTGCACACCTTTAACGTTTTACCTTCATTTTGGAAGATTTTTTTGGTAGGTAATGTTGCAATGTTCTCAGGAGTTAGATTGTATAGCGTCGAATCATGGGAAGACATGAATTGAAGAGAACTTGGAAGGAAAGTCATGGTTTGAGGCATTTGACTGGAAGAGGACTGAGAAAAATTACGAAAACCCTCAGTCAGAGATTCGAAATCAGAACCTATCGACTACGAGTATACAGGGTCAAGAATGTGCCAATTAGCATGGTACTTTGAAAGATAAAAGTAATTTATACGAAAACAGAAGCTTTAAAATTGAGCATTATGACAAATTATTCGCTAAATTCAGGGGAAAGGAAATTGAACCGAATACGTATAGAGACCTGGTTCGGAACAAAACAAGTGGATTTTGTAAGATTTGAGGCTTTCACGGCGGTGACTATGAAGAAAGCAGTCTTCTGGGATTTGGCACCGTGTATATGTGGTGTTAACCGACGTTTCGGAGGAACGTATCGCCCCCATCTTCAGGGTAGAAGAAAAAGTATAAGAATTCTGCAAGCGACAACACCGTGAGAAACGGTAAAGCAGACTGCTTTCTTCAAGTGAATTTTGGACGGAGTAGAGAATATAAATTAATAAGGGAAGTGGAAGGTAGAGAGCTAAATGCGCTACTTCACTCATGCTGACACACTGAAAATCTCTCACCAAGTGAAGTTTGCGCAGGGCAATTGCGTGTATATAATTAATGCAGTCTTGTTTCGCAACAGCGAGGCTGCATAAGACAGATGTTGCATACAATGACGGATCATGTACGCAGTACTTTGAAAATTCCGATAATATCGTACATCATCAGGGCTGTCGTACACCGCATTAGGCAGTGATATATGAGTATAGAGCACCAGTGGAACAAAGATTAGGAAGGGAAAATCCATGAAGCTGGTTGGGCAGGTTTTAAATAGCTGGTCGAGGCTGTATACGTAGGATCACGTGTAAGGAGGAAAGAATCCTTCTGGTTGGAGAGGTTGAATATAGCTGGTTGAGCCTGTATAAGTAGGATCACGTGTAAGAAGGAAAGAATCCTGCTGGTTGGAGACGTTGAATATAGTTGGTTGAGCCTGTATAAGTAGGATCACGTGTAAGGAGGAAAGATTCCTGCTGGTTGGAGAGGTTGAATATAGCTGGTTGAGCCTGTATAAGTAGGATCACGTGTAAGGAGGAAAGGATCCTGCTGGTTGGAGACGTTGAAGATAGCTGGTTGAGCCTGTATAAGTAGGATCACGTGTAAGGAGGAAAGAATCCTGCTGGTTGGAGAGGTTGAATATAGCTGGTTGAGCCTGTATAAGTAGGATCACGTGTAAGGAGGAAAGAATCCTGCTGGTTGGAGAGGTTGAATATAGCTGGTTGAGCCTGTATAAGAAGGATCACGTGTAAGGAGCAATGGATCATGCTGGTTGGAGAGGTTGAATAGAGCTGGTTGAGCCTGTATAAGAAGGATCACGTGTAAGGAGCAATGGATCCTGCTGGTTGGAGAGGTTGAATATAGCTGGTTCAGCCTATGCAAGCAGGATCAGATAAAGGAGGGAATGATCCTACTTGGTTAGACTAGTTCGGCCCGATCTCTTACACCTGAAACACTGTGTAAATCAGACACATCTCGCAAAGTATATAGTGTTCAACATAATATTCGTATTCTAAATCAAACTTTGCCACAAATTTCATTCACCATATTCTTCTGGTAGCATGCATGAATGCACAAACAACAAACTCGTTTTGTTTCTTGTAGATTTTGAATCAAACATTCTGTACCAAGAAGTGTACCTGAGGTTGAATGGAATCAACATTCAAGTGGAAGCAACTCCTGCTCCCTGCACAGCAGGGTCGGAAACAGTTTGCCCTGTGAAGGCGGGAGCCGTCAACCAGTATTCTGCTGTCGTGAATTTCTCAAGCGACCTACCCCCGGTACGTCACATTAACAATTTGTATGGTATCTGTCGGTATGAGAAGAAGGGACAGTATGTGGCAGCCAATATACTTGTACCATATTGAATTTATTATAGTATGAATACGTTTCATTTTGCACGTCTGCATGGTAACTTACAAATTTGATTTACATAAATTTAATAAGATGTCCAGATAAGAGCTTATGATACAAATGTTTCTTTAAGTGCTTGAGTTTATTTGTTTTCGGACAATTATAAACTGATAATGCACAATTACCGATCCATTTCTGTGCTTAATATCCGAAGATTTAAGTTGTATATTGAATTTGTCGGAAATAACCTCAGATATTCCCAGCCTATCAATATTTGTAACTTTAAACATACAGATTTGTGAGGAATGCCAAACAGTAGTGGCACATTGGCAATCTCCGGTCACGATTTCATATACCTATTCACCATGATTTACTAGCTATAGGCCATGAACAGTCTTCACAATTTCGCAGTGTCCTGCGCTCTATAAAATATTTCTTAATGAATCTGCATATTTATCGAAAGTCTCTTGTCAATGAAAAGTTCAGTGTGTTATATTAAACGGTGCTAGGTTTGCTTCCACCTCAGATGCTAGGTATTACTGATGACAGCAAATGTTAAAATTAAAAGTACAGTATGCGCCAAACTACAGTACTGAAATGAAAAGACGTCCTGTTGATACCACTGTCTATTCATGTGAAGGCCCCTTGCACGACAGAACCTTCTCAAATCTTGAAGAAATGGTCCGATCACCATGTCCCTTAAGCGTTCTTGGGTGGCGGTAAGAGCATTGCCTTCCTCATCCCCAATGAAATAGGGGCCCAATATACCGTGTGCTGAGACGGCACACCATACCGTCACACGTTTACTGTGTAGCGGTTTCTGGACGATAACATCTGGCAGCTCAAAACCAAGGAAGCGAGTTGTCTGGCGACCACTTCCGTATGAGCGGAAATAATACTCAACTATGAATACTTTTTCCTCTGTCGAGAGACCCATTTCCAACAACAACTGCACAACACAACTTCCTTTTCACTACTGGGAACACGTGCGGCTGGAGCTATGCCCCGTCGACAAACGCACATGCGCGTTCGAGATGCGCGAGTTTCAGTACTGCAATTTTGGCGCATACTGTACACGTATATATCAAATTTCCTTTTGTGACACGACAGTCACTTGACGCTTCGTTACTATCTGTCAACTGGCTCTGAAGGTGCAGTGATATGCTTGGTGTAACTGAGAACAAGGGAAACATGCATACTCAATCATACGGCAGGTTATCTCACCGAGATTCGTTTTGTTATCTTGTGTGAGAGCCCATGTCTGGCACACGTATAAGCTTTCTAGATAATAGCATGAATAAAAGAATTCCACTAAGTGGCTAGCTACTGAGCCGACTGGATGACTCGCTCCCTTTCACTAGCACTGTCACGCGTCCGTATTCCAATTGAATGGTGCAATCCTTTTGCAATCAGTGCACGCCCACTGGAAACTGTAGCGTTGCGAATAAACGAATCCAACTATTTACGCTTCACCTACTGACCACTTCATAACTTGTAGTCTTCTCCAAGCATAATTAGAATGATCAATTCAAGGAGGATGAGGTGAGCAGGGCATGTAGCACGAATGGGGTAGAAGAGGAATGCCAGAATAAAAGAGACCACTGGGAAGACCAAGGCGTTGGTTGGTGGATAATGTTAAAATAGATCTTAGAGAGATACTATGGTACGGTATGGATTGGATTGATCTGGCTCAGAATAGGGACCAGTGGAGGGCTCTTGTGAACATGGTAATGAACCTTCGGGTTCTATGAAATGCTGTGAAATTCTTGAGTAGCTGCAGAATTGACGACTCCTCAAAAAGGGCTCAGCTCCATGAGTAAGTAAATAAGTATCGTTAGGGTTTGCTTTAACAGGACCTTCCAATATACACATACATCTCGCAAGCGGTCTCTCCCGGTTTTTTTATCTAATATGTGTATTAATTACTCGTGTCTCCATGCGTACTACATACTGCACCAATCTGCCCAATTTCCCCTTTATGTAATAACGCAAATAACATTTGGTGAAGACTACAAATTGTGGAGTTACTCTCAGATTTCTTCAGCCTCCTCTTACATATATTTGCCCTCTCCTGCTTCCAGCTATTCTCCTCGGCAAGTGGTACTCAGAATATTCTTCCTTCTTGGTCACAGGCCCAGTCCCATCCCATAGTTCCCTTCAAATTCCAGTTTATAATACATGTTGCCTATGTTTATTTTATTTCTAGCACTGTCGGAATTGTCAGAACTGGCGTACACAGGAAGAGAAGCCGGAAGTGACATGATGGAAGTGTTTCATTTTGTTTTTCAGGTTGCAGGAAGTTTGTACTGGAAGCTCAACAACAGCGACGGCAGCAACGTGATATGCTACAAGGTGGCGATTAGGATCCTGTACAGTTCAAAGTGGCTACAAGTTCCACACCGTAAACCGATTTCTGAAGAGCAGGAGTCTTATCGGCACGCACAGACGGATCGCAGCTAGAGAGAAAGTCTGAGGTCTGCATCAACACACAACCACAAGAAATCGTAGTGCCTGAGAAAACTCACATAGTGTATTGGTTGACAGCAGTTTGAAAATAATTTCCCGTTCTTCCATTTAAAGAAACTTTCCATAGTGACACGCATGTACTGTTGCAGAGAGGACACAAATGTATAGTTGATTCTGATGTCGGTGAATAACCCTATGGACTGTCGGGTTTCTGGACTTCGTCCATCGTCCATCGTCCAGTATTCTTTAAAAATAACGATATCAGCATGTGGGAAACTGGAGCTGTTTCCGTTCTCAGATGATGGGGAGGGAGGCACTGTTGAGTCCGTTAGAAAGAGCTAAGCTCAGACTGTCAAGTGACTGAGGTTAGCTGTTTCTAACGGAATCAACAGAGTAAATGTCTTCCACCCCTTCAGCTGAGGACGTAAATAGATTCAGTTTCCGGAACGTTGTGTTCTCTAGCTTTTACAACACCGGACAATGGGCAAAGTCGAAACCCTCATTAATTACAAGTCTTTAGCTTCAATTTTTTACAGATGTCAAAAAGAGGTTTCATTCCCTGGCCTTATCAAATATCAGACATACATCCCCTCTATAAATGAGATATCCCTTGAAGAGCATGAAAGGGTTAAACTTGCAGATACTGTACTGTGGTTAAACAGAAAATAGAGTATATAAATTTCCGAAAAAAGGGAAGCTTATATTTCATATATTTCGATCTTTCAAAACTTCTACTTATGATGTGTGGGTGTTTTATGTCAATTCGATTAATTATATGGAGAATTACGTATATAATGTTTTGATGTATGTCTATGCAGTCACAGGCCTTCTTTGGCAGAATTAAGAGGAAGAACATTTCCCATGAATTCAGAATCTAAAATTTTCTTACTCAATCAGATATTTTTGTATTGCTTTCTTCCGTAAAATACACTTGAGTTCAGTGATTCAGTATTGAGGGGGTGGGTTTCCCCATGCACCGCGACTTTTTGATAGTCTATTGTACGTCCCCCTTTTAATTTCTACAGTCTCCATCCCCTACCGGTACTGGTGCTCGCTATTTGTCCCTTTCTGCCAGCAAGGTTTCTACCCTCTACTTGGCAGTGGTATCTAATACTTTAGTCCCTTTCTGTCAAAGAGGTCGTCCCTCCTCTGGCAGTGGTACCTAATACTTCCCCATCTACCGGAAGCACTGGAAACTACTTTGGGCGGGAAATGTTGGGCCTAATTTAGCTCAGCGGTCTCTTAGAGACATGAGGTTCTTTTACGTGCCGTAAATCTACGACACGGGACACACGGCTTAAAGTCCCTTCCGGAGGACTTGTTCCCTGAATTTTTCCGCCCTTAAAAATTCCACGAGCTCCGCCGGGTTTTTGAACCCGCATACCTTGAGGCATGAGGTGGGAACGTTACCCCTAGACTACGGAGGCCGCTTACACTTGAGTTACGAAATTATCACTGTAAAACTGTATATTCATAATGATTCATATTGCTGTGAAGTCGTTACGGGTCGTATCTTTGGTTTAGACAGTAAAGCTTAAAAGGTGTATTGGTCTTGACTTGCATATAAGTTTAGATTCAAGCCCCTCCACCGCCCTTACAATAAGCCACATGTGAGATTTAAAAATCGAATGCATTGATATTATATTTTTCTATATTATTCCTTTATCTATGCCAAGGCCTATACATATACAAGCACGTGTGCAAGAGTTCAAAGGCTTAGGGTTTTGGAATGTAACGTATCACTTATTAATACCAGATTATCTTTCTAGTCAAATTAAAAAGCCCGACCATTGTTCTGTTTCCAACGGCTCGTAAGTAGTTACTATCGGTGTTACAAGGAGGCATGACTAATCAACAGGGTGATTCCAAACTATTTTTGTTCATAGTCCATGGAAAACCGACAATAATTTAGAAACACGTTTCATTAAGGCCGATCGGTGTACGTGTATGTTAGGGATATTACGACAAGGCCATTACAAAACGAATTAAGTAAACTGTTTCCAGTAATGTAGTTATATTTTTAGGGGCAGTATAATATTATGCGAGCCGGTCACGGTAGCCGAGCGGTCTAAGGCATGCACTGTCTTCGCTCGCTCGGAAGCCGGGATCGTGGGTTCGAACTGTTTCCTGTGAGGTACGAACTGAATTCTTATACACTGCCGGTCAAAGTAGCCGAGCGGTCTAAGGCATGTACTGTCTTCGCTCGCTCGGAAGCCGGGATCGTGGGTTCGAATCCCACTCAGGGCATGGATGTTTGTGTGCGTTTTTCTGTGTTTGTGTACAGGTAGAGGCCTTGCGACGAGCTGATCACTCGCCCAAGGAGTCCTACCGAATGTGTAAGATCTATAAAAACCGAAATGAACGGAGTTCATGGAGGTAGGCCTAAGCCCACTTGGGCTGTAGTGCCAAGGAAAAAAAATAATATTATGCGCTGGGGAAATTTTCGAGTTTTAATGAAATTAAATGCCACAACCTAGCTCAGTCGGTATAGCGACTAACTACCGGCTGGACGACCGAGAGGTTGGAGTTGCGAGTGCCTGTAGGGGCAGAGATTTCTCTCATCTCTATGTCCTCCAGGATGAATGTGGACTCCATCTCGCTTCCTCTCAATTGGTACCGGGTGCTCTTTCTCCGAAGTAAAGCAGCCATTAGGTGAAGATGACCACTCACCTCCAAGCAGTACAAAGGTCAAGAAAGTGTGAATCGATATATCCACTCCCCCATACGCCTTCATGGCCTAGTGCTTAATTAGTTAAGCACAGACACAACTTTTTACAACTTTCTTACATTATCTGCCTAATCGACTAAGCCCATGTAGCACAGCCCTACATGAAGAATTAATATTAGCCCAGCAAGACAAGAAATTCTCTTGCATTTATGGAACCGGCAGATTCATTACCGACTCTAGAGCAGTCAGCCACTAAAAGAATCTAGTAAAGTTTTCCATACCCTCTTTCCTTGTCAGTATCTTCTATAGAGTTCTTTAAATTTGTCTACATAGATTTTCAAATATTTTAAAGGTGTCCATGCTGTTTTATATAAATATATCCTCCTCTCGTAGTACATTTCCATAATGGCATATAACTGACAGTGATGTAAGGCCTAAAAGCTTTGTAAAATGTTTTGACCTAAGAATGACGAAGTTGGGGGCGGCGGTACTTTGAGATACAATATAACGAGGAACTTGGCAGTTTACGAAACACTTAGTGTTCCTGGAGCAGTGGCTTCTGGGATACTTCAACCGACTTGGAACTAGGTGGAGGAGACAAGGAATACATAGAGAATATTGGGGGAGAAATTTCTTGGGAAGAAATCAAAAGGAATACAGGGAATATCGCCTTAAAGACTTACTTTTAAATATGCGAAAATTCTGGCTCCGTTTCTTTCACTGATTTTATAAAATACAGAACAAATTTAGAATCAGATGTCCCGGAGTTTTGAAAGATGAATCTCATGAACAGATCGCACAGAACTGCCATTACAGGCCAAAAACAAATACAATTAATAGAAGACAGAAACGCTTTTAAAAATTCCGAGTGAAAGGTAAAGGTATCCCTGTAACAGGCCATGAAGGCCCATAGGGTTGTGAGATGTTGAGGTTCCCACATTTTCTATACAATCGGCTCACAGATGGCGGTAAGTTTGTCAGCCTTACGCGCTGGCCGCCCTTTACCCCTGCAAACCAGGAAGATTCCTGGTACTCATTTCTGTTAGAGGCTGAGTCACCCCCAGGGCCATAGTGCGGCTGGAAGAATTAGGTAAATTGAAAAAAATCCACCTCACCGGGATTTGGACCCGCGATCTTCCGGCTTCTAGCATATTGCCTCAATCAACAACGGTACAGCTTGCTCCGTTAGGATTTAGAAGCGAAAATGAGAGTTCTTCATAGAGGTAGCTATGCTATAAAGTGGCTCATGCTTCATTTAATTCATTTTCATTCAGTGAGAACACAGCTTATGGCCCCTCTTACGTTCTAAATTGTATTATTTAAAATCTTAGAAGACATTAAGAGACTTTTACTTAGGGTGTAAAGGTACAAATTGGCCCGTCACATAGCTACATCAGCAACATTCGTGGCGAATGTATAGATATACAAGACTGTTGGTTGCCCAAAGGAAATGGGATGATGGAAGTTGAAGCAGATCTCAGCTTGTCAAGTGTCTTAACTGCAACAATAATATACAAGCGGATTTAAACATGGTAATATACGTGTATATTCTTATGGATGACTAGACATTTTATATTGGAAACTTCTTGTTTTTTATATAAGTTTACAAGAAGTCAATATAACTTGAAGCCCACTATACTTTAATTTATTTAGCCCTAATAAAAGAAACGTGCATCGTGAAGTGCGTGCATAGAACAAAAAAGACATTGAAAGGTGGTGTGTGGAACATTTATGATGGTTGTCTGAAAAAAATGCACGAGTGTTCGACGAACAATGTATGAAACCTTCATTTCTCCAAATCCCAAAAAACAAGATTTTCTGTACTCAGTCTTCCAGATTACAAGTTTACGAGATAATAAACTGTCTTATATTTGGTGTAAATATTTGTGTCTCGCTCATGGGAAAGAACATAGATTAACGGTACTTGAGAAAAATACTGTTGGAGATAATATTTGAACCTAAGACAAAATACAGACATAACTAAGAAAATCTCATAAAGAGGATCATCGTGACTGGCGATCTTAATGAAATGTGATTAGAATGACCAAATTATGGATGAGGTGTGTGGGCTTCCACTGCACGTGACAGATAAGAACTGCATTTTTTTTTATTATTCTTAGTGGGGTGAGACTGAGCCCGTTTGGTACTAGGGCCAATAACTTCCTACAGTATCAGCCCCAGACTGTAGATGAGGGTGACTGTGGAACAATACGTGGAATGAAGATTTGCAGGGAAGACCGAAGTACTCGGAGAAAACCTGCCCCAGCTCCACTTTGTACACCACAAATCCCACATGAGCAGACCCGGGCTTGAACCCGGGCCGCCACCGTAAGAAATGCATACAAAACCTGTCGGGTAACCTGAAGAGAATAAAAAATCCTGACGAGCTAAGTGTAAGTAGGAGAATAATATTAAAAGAGATCTTTAAGAAATGTTAAAAAAGAACGTGTTAGCGCGGATTCATATGCCTTAAGACGGTGACCAGCGAAGGACTTTTGTGAACACGGTAATGAACTTGCGTTACATAAAAGCGGGAAATTTCTTGACTAGCTGAGCAACTGTCTGTTAATCAGAAAGAGCTCTCCTCCATTCAGTTCCTTAGTTACATTAAATTTCAAGATCTCACGACAGTTCGTGACACCGTGCAGTCTGGAGAGGGCCCAGTGCTTGTGAAGAACATAGCCCCTCCATCTTTACAGCAGAAAAGTGAGGCAAGCAAAGAAACCGACAGAAGTAGGAAGAAAAAACGAACTGTTCGCGCTTACGTAACAAGTCAGCATTTCGTTCCATTCACAGTTCCCCCCCCCCCTTGGCACTACAGCCCCAGTGGGCCTAGGCCTACCTCCATGAACTTCTCCGTTCACTTCGGTTTTTCTAGATCTTACACATTCGGTAGGACTCCTTGGGTGGGTGATCAGCTCGTCGCAAGGCCTCTGCCTGTAGTGAGCCGCACTTCCTCCTCTTCGAAGACAACCACGCTCTGCTACCAATTGTTGAGCCGCTTCGAAGACAACCGGAGCTCACAATCGACTGTTTGTCTCGTGGTGTTCCAATGCCTCCCCAAAGTGGAAGGGGATCTCAAGGGAGGAACCGAGAGGGTTAGCTGGCATAGGCGTTGGGCAGTANCCATTCACAGTTACATCACTGCAATACTGTCTAACTTTCAAGGCAAGGAACATGAATTAACGAGTTAACTAATTATTTCATATGTACTTAATGACAAGCATAATTCTTTCTTTGTCGAGCACAGTGGCCACGCCGTCTAAGGCATGAACCGTCTTCGCTCGCTCGAACATTGGCATCGTGGGTTCTAATATCACT